CAGGGGTCTATATAAATGCATGCAGGGGTCTATATAAATGAATACCCCTGTAATAGGTTCTTTATAAGCAGCACTGTAATCTACTATAAAATGACTCACTACTTATTTCGTTGTAGTTTATTATTTAGTTCGTTTATTTGTTTATTAGTTTGTTTTATCAGGTTTAGTTTAGTTATTTAGGTTATAGTAAACTACGCTGTCGATTATAAGGAATTCTTACCGCATTTGTTTTCTCTCCCTCTCGCTCTTCCATAAACACCATTTGTAACTCGCAAAAGCGTTATTCGCATCTGCATCGTGCATGCAGCATCTCGTTGGTTGCCTTAACTTATTTCTCCTTTTCACCTGTTTTTTCCCCCAAGTGTTTGGATACAGCCTCTTCAAGGTGATCCTCTTTCTATCGCTGCCTATCGCTCTCCTCAAGACAGCAATCAGTCTGGTCCACCTGTATGCCGCCTCCGTAAACCTAACTGGCCTGGACATCGCGGACCGGAAGAAGACTACGGTGGCCGCATCGTAGGCTTCTGCGTCAGCTGATGATTCCTTTTGTGTGATAACGCTTTGCCCTGTATATATGTATACTTGTGTTCTAGTCCTTCTTTTTCTTCGCTTCCAAAGTGTTTGAATCTTGTCAATCTTTCAAAATTTACGAACTTCTATCGCTCCCTTCAAGTGCAAATCAGCATCGTGCTCTATTTTTATCTCCTTCCGTTAGCCTTTACTCATTCCTCCTGTTGTGGATGTCCTTTGATTCATTTTTGATAATCAGCTGATAATAAGACATTCCGCCTAACATGTGTTTTTCTGCAAGGAAATTTCGTTTCAGTGGCCCAGGTGTTGTTATCGTCTGCAGGATGGGCTACTTACAGGCACTGCAGGCAAATTGAAATAATAAAGCATCTTGTCAGCTAATTTACCTTCCTAATTTCTCCAATGTACCTTCCTTATAAATTTTTATTGGCAAAACTCCTAGTGCTGCGGTTGTAGCCATTAGGTCGCCTTTTCTTCAAAAGGGCTACGACAGTCGAAAGTTCAGTGTTGGTGAGCCCTCAGAGAAGTTGCTCGTCATTAAGTATGCACAAGGCTGAAGGCTGGCTTTTGTCCATGGACTAGTCACCACGGCCTAGCATTAGACCTGTTGTGGATGTTATGTAAATATACTGAAACTGAGGCCGCGGCCTTATTTGTGATTTGGCAATGCAATCAGCCAGAGAGGGCTCTGTGAACGCTCCACTGGGGGGTGGGGGAGGTGGGCAGATCCACCCCTCGGACGAGCTTGTCATGTTTCACATTTGCATTTGGCCGCTGTTTATAGTGGCATCTCCAGAAAATTAAACAGTCGGGGGTGCCATGTCTACGCCGTGTGTGTGTGCG